CTGCGCTATGTTTCTTTCATCGGGAGATTCGTCGGTATCAGGTATACGGTGCGTAGAAAAATGTTAACGCGTTTACGACTGACCGTCACGGTGGAAAATCCTTCGAAATATCTGCTCTCGTAATTACGAGCGACTTATAACAGTGTGGTAACCCTTTCATTTGTGAACTATGATAAACTACTCCTCATCTACAGTCTGGAGATTTACCTCCATGATTTATGCTAATACAATGGACCTACCTCAAAGCATCTTCTACTAAACGCTCTATTAGGCTTAAGTTAATTACGAGACTACCTTTTTGTGGGCTGGTACGACACGATCGTTACCATATTACAGTAAATATATTACATTCGTAACAACGTAAAACGCTTTTTAATTAAATTTAAAGGGCAAAATGAGCGGAAAGTGTAATTGTCCGAAAATTTTCACGTCGGTACGTCTGTACCTACCATTTGAAAAAAATCGAGACTTCTTTTCATTCTCTTCTACAAACTCAAGACCAATGTAACATTTGTTACGGTTATTGACATGATATCATTGCTACGAGAGAAATTTTGGAGAAACATTTTTTTATGGAAAAAGTAACAAAGGTGTCGGGAAGTTTCACATCTGATTTCAAATTTTAGAGTCTAAGGAGAGTCTAGAGTTTCAAATTTTAGTGTCATTTAAACTTTTTTTTTTAAATAAATATTAACTGAACGGGAATAAGTTTATATTCGTGCATAACTATACTTGTAATAGAAATAGTGAAAATTGAAATAATGTCGTGAAATAGTTTATACACGTATAGACCTCCGAGAAATTTAACGTTGCCTTCCGGATAGGACCACTATTATAGACAATAACTTTATTTTCTTCTGGTTCCAATTTCTCTTACTTGCTGGCGCGTTTGAACGTACCGACACGCCGCCTAGTTATTTGTGCACTCTCCGATATACCATTTCCAGAACGTAATCGTTAATCACTCGTCAGATTTCAAAGAAAGGGACAAAGTCACAAATAAAAACTAGTTTGGAAGTTTACTTCGATTTTCAGGTGCCGTTTTGACCACCGATGCTCTATATAACTATGCTCGTTGGCTGATTTTACGATTTCTACGAATTCGTATCCTCCTTCCTGCATTGCAATTTTCGTTCTTTGATTGGAACTCTAACTTTTATGTAATCGCCACCGTAAATCTTGAACGTTGTTAAATATTCAAGAAAGAGCGAAACTCGAAAGAAATTTCTCTAAAAAAATAAATCATTCGAGTGACATAACTTGTAGATCGAAAATTTTTGAGAAAAAGAGGAGAAAAAGCATTGTGTGTCAAAGTAAACGGAGAAGAAATTGAAAAAAGGAAGGAGAAATAATTTTGAAAAGTTGCATTTCGTTGAAATTTCTAATTAAAAGATGAAATCGTTCAAACTTATATTTTCATAAAATCCTCAGATGCGGTTTTAATCTGAGATTCCACCTAAGGAAGGCTGTCTTGGGAAACGTGCTTGCCTATCCGACGGTTCACAATACGTAGTCTATGATGCTTAAACACGAATAGCATCGGAACAACGTCGAAGGAACCTGGAAGGACAAAATGAGGAATTTGAAAGCGGAACTGGATAATGTGGTAATTGTATTCTGGGAATCAGTTCGGCACGCACTCCTTAACAAGCTTCGACGCGTCTCTCCTGTCTGGTTCTAGACACGGCAAGTTGAGAAATGTAGATGAACAGTCAGCTTTTTGTGGCATACAATATCCCCGACCTATCTCTTTGATAGCGCACGATTTCTTTTCGGAAACACAGGTGCCAGAGTCACGGCTGTCACATTTGGACTCGTTGATTGCTAGGGATTTCTGTCAAAAGTTCGTCTAGTTTGTCGTCTATGAAAATTGCTACCCGAAGAATAAATTCTAATTCAAAACCGACGGTAAAAGCAGTTTGAACAAATTTGCAAATTACCGATATTGTTTCAATGGATTTGAGATGAAAATATAGTTTGCTTAAACGAATTATGAATAAGAAGACGAAGAAGAAGGTGAAATGGGAGGAGAAAGAATGTTAACGAGATGAAAGAAATGGTAATTATTCGAATTTTTAGGCCTGCATTTCACTCTTTCGTTTACCTGTAAAATCTTGTATCTCAATTTGTGAATACATATGTATTCATCGAATGGACTTGCATCTGTATATATGTAGATATCCTTCGAACTTCGTGGAGGGTCAAAAAGATAGCGTTATACGGAGCTCTCATAAATTACCACTAGTTGTCGGGTAACGTGTTATTTGCCATAGAGCTCACAAATGAGTGCAGTTTATATTTAATTATTCGACTCACGCCCAGGGCGCATCCTCACGACGTACCTGGCCCATTTTTGACTACAGAAATATCCCTTCTGTTGCTCCACTTTTTATTTCCCTCAGATTCCCCTTTTCTTTTTTTGTCTCCCTCGCCTTATCAAAGTTTCGCCTTATTCTTCATACTTTTTCGTTATTTTCATTCTTTCATTTCTTCTTCTCACTTTCAATCACAGGTACACATTGAAGCTTTTCCTTCCTTTCTTTTCCGCAATACTCATTTTTAACAATGAGAATGTTATTTACTTAGAAAATATCCTTATTAGCGTTTCGTTTGACCGAAGGTAATTAGTGCAAGAATTGGAAATACTTCGGTGTGGTTTTAAGGAGCAAAGACAGGACGAGTGGGTTGAACTGGTACGCTGACAGGGTAAGCAGGTAAGGAAAAAGGTGAAAACAAAAGGTCGGAGGTGAAGGTAATATTGTAGGTGAATAGAGGAAGGACAGACACAGACAAACGTACATTTCGTAGCCCTAATTATTAGTTCCGTCCCAGTTCCGTTCTGAAACGAGGTAATAGATGGAAGCAATCAATTTTTAAATTGCATCCTAATTCGCCGGAAGAATATTCTCGTGTGAAAATGAGCAAAGTATTGAAGTATCGACGATCAAGTATCACGCTGTACCTACTCGCTCGATATCAACTGTACGCATCTTTAAAGTAGCGACAGGTTGTACAATCCTGATAAAACACCTGCTGGATAAGAAGAAGAAGCTTAGAGACAAAATTAAACAAGTGAATGTTCCAATTTCTCGAATACACTTGTCTCTCGCAGAATTCTCTATCGGTACGCGTGGAAAGGTTGTCGAAAATCACGTTTATCGCAAAAGACGATCCGTTTAGAAGAAGCTTGAGAATTCACCGATCACACGGTTGTTCCCATTAAAAGTACGAAAAGTACCAAGGGTTTTTAAGCATAGGATTATCGTGTCGCTACTTAGGAAGAATTTTAGGGCAATGGCGGGGCGATCCCGAAATCCAAGACGGCTGTGTCCGAAGGGAATGACAGAGATCGGGTTGCTTCGGACCACCGTCATGCTTGCCGCAAACTTTATCCTACCTGTTTTCGCTAATTGAGCGAGTAAAAATGTAACTGGACCTTACGCCCATGAGGTATTTGCACCCTTTTAAAGATACGATCCGTCCTTTTCCCAAGGTAAATTTGTACTGGACCGCTTTCCTCATTCCACAGCCTCTCAGCCTCGCCGGTCCACTCGTTCAGATTACTTACCAGCCGTACTGGGAATTATCATTATTTGTTCAAACAACTTAATCATATTCGTTTCATTCTTAAACTTGTTTAATCGTATAATTTGACAATGGATGACGCGAAGGATGCTTCAAGTGGGCAACGAAATTGCGTTAAACTTATAGGTAAACTTCTCCGATTACCTCAATGCAAACCGGTATCCTCAAACACCTGATAATTAAACAGCTAATAAATTGGAAGTCGTTAATTTCCAACGTTGAAACACATATTTGCCTGTTCGCGTATAAAATAGCGCCTATTGTGGAAAATTATTATTTTTCACGTTACCTTCAACCCTTTGCTGTCCTATGTCGAGTCAGACTTACGAATTTTTGCCTTCGGATATTGTACAAGGATAAATCATATACGATAATGAACCATTTCTTATGCATTAATGTTATACTAAAAGTGAATATTTTATGACTAATGTCACGCTGAAATATTGAATTAAAGGCAGATTACATGCCGCACACTGGCCAAATGATTGCGGACTAACTGGACTATTTAACGAAATGTAAGAAATTTTTAAAAATATGGATACGACAAATGTACCAAATAATTAATCTAATAAGATTTGCTCTACTTTATATAAATAAATAAATAGCGTTGTATACATAAAAATTAAGTGTGTGTTCGTATGCATCGATGTATTTATATATATCACTAAAGGGCCAGGTAATGGTTGTGCGATTTTATACATGATCGTTTAGGATGGAGGCGCCGAAGCCACCTGTTGCACTAGCTGTTCGCATATTCGTGGCTGGTTGGCTTTACTCCACCACAGAAATGGTGGGGCGCGGTGCCGAGTTTTCATTGGTCGGACGGCACGTGCTGCACGAGGGTGCCTCGCTTCGAAAACGCATAAATCCCTCAGCGGTGTACCAGCCGACTTTAGAATCACCCCGACAGCCGAGTCGGCATGCGTGAACGAAACTACGAGGAAACCTGATTCTTCCATCGCGAAGGTTACAAATTTCAAGGAGAAAGGCCCAAACTTTCGTATCGCGAGAAAATTTCACATCGCGAAACCGAAGAGAAGAGAGTCAGAGGAGAACACTGTACTTAGACGAAAAGAGCAGAGCAGCGAAACGTTCCGATAACCGTGATAAAAATTCCGCGACGATACAGTGACAAAAAAAAGAAAGAAAAAAGAAAAAACAATATTCAGTGAAGCTAAAAAAACGTCCGGGGGCTGAAACGAAGCTTAAAGAAATCGAC